CGGGAGCAGCAGCAGGAGGAGCATCAGGAGAAGCAGCAGGAGGAGCAGTGAGAGCAGCAGCAGCAGTGGGAGCAGCAGCAGCAGGAGTAGCAGCAGCAGTGGGAGCAGTAGCAGCAGTGGGAGCAGCAGGAGCAGCAGCAGCAGCAGTGGGAGGAGCAGCCCAGCCAGAAGCAGGGGAGGGGGACACCAGTCTCCTCCCTGCCTCCTGCTCCAGCTTGCCGCTTACCTGAACTGTTTTGATCCTGCGATGAAAATTCGTTCTGAGAATGTGGGGCTGAACTCCTGGCTATTCTCACCTTTTAAATAAAGGAAAATGAGTTGGCTTATGTAGGAAGAAGAGAAAGAACAGAGATTTGGCACTGAGGACAGGTATTTCTACAGAGACCCCCCTGCTGGGCCCTTCCTTCCCCAACCACCTTACCTGGCAGCTCCCTGGCCTGAGGCCTCCCTCTCACTTACCATCTCCTCCAGGCCCCAGCTTAAGGGTCAAGACCAGAGGGGAGGTCTATCATGTGGGGGCTCTAGGGTATCCACTTCACTTACTGTGAATCTTAGGGGAGATAATCTACATAAAGCACCCAGCACAGTGCCTGACATGCAGTAATAGCTCAATACATATAAGCCATTACATATCCGTAGATGTATGCACGTGTATGTACGTGTGTGTGTGTGTGTGTGTGTGTGTGTGTACAGTCAGTACTATGTCACTCCACTTTGTTCTATTCTCTTATCTCTCCTCAAAACCTAGCTGGAAGGAAGTGGGAGATGAGGGAAAGATTGGACATGTGGGGAGATGGCATCGTGAGCTGTCAGGCTCTACAGGTTCCACCCAGGAAAGCTCTTGGGTAGGAGGGGAACTGCTGGGGGCAGAGGACTCCAGGCCCTGTCCGCTCCTCCTGGGATGTGTTATAGGAAAGGACTCCCGGCCTGCCCAGCCCGCCTCGATCCTCTCTCTGCAGGAGCAGCCTCCACTTCTGGCTGTCTTGAGGGATTGTGGGTAGAGTGGAAGGGCTACCCCTAGACTGGCCCAGCAGGCCCAAGAGCAGGGTGTTCATTCTTCAGGGGTGAGGCCACCTCCAGGTGAAAGGTGGTGAAGGGCTTCAGGCCCCAGTGGGGCTTTCCAGGAGACCTGGCCTTTCCTGTCTGGGGCCTCTGCAGACGCTCAGGCTGTTCAAGGTCACAGCAGCAGGTGAATGGCCTGCCTGACCCAGCAATGGCCTCCAGCACTCCCAGCTCTCCTCCCTGCTCTGGTGGTGATGGGCACAGCCTCCGTTTGCACGTCTCCATCTGTGCTCCATCCTGCCTCCCCCTTCACACTGAATCTGGGCCTGGACTATAGGTTATGTCTCGTGAGAATGTTCTACAGCAGCCACCCTGACCTGTTGTCCACAGAGGACCCCGAGCCAGGCCTCCCCTGGGCCCACCCACCTGCCCCTGTGCCCACAACCACCCAGGCCCTTACATTCGGCTTGGGCGATGATGGAGATGGCGGCCAGCCCTCCCTCGGAGCCTTCCTTGGCTGTGCCTTTGGTAATCACATCATTCAGGATCTCCCACTTCCCGCAGAACACGGGGCTCTTCTCCACAGCCTCCAGCTTGTAGATGGGGCTCTGTTTCTTCCCCTTAGACGGTGTCTTCTCCTTGGCCTTGGCAAGTTCCTTCTGCTGCCCAGCTGCCGAGCCGGGGGCGCCGGGGCAGGCCACTTCCATCACGGCCATCTCCTAGGCTCACGCTCACCCTGACAGAGACCAAACATGGCAGGTCACTCAGAACCCCAGCTCTGGGGGCACAGGGCAGGCTTGGGTGGAAGGAGATAAGCAGGGGACAAAGGGTCTCCGCTCTCTATGCCACGTGTAAGTACCCTCCAAACATCCCGGATGGAGAGGAGCCAACCTTTCAACTCCTGCACGTGTTCTGAGTGGTACAGCCCCAGCCCTGGCAGCACCCCAGCTGAACGGCCTCCCGAGGCCTGTGCTCGACAAGGTCAGTGACGGCGCAGGTATTGGGGCTGGTTCTTTCTTGCCTTTATAATGGCTAGATCTTTCCTGCTGCTAGTTTAATGGCAGACCTCGCTTCCTGAGGACAGAGCAGTGATCCGACCTCCAAAGCATCACCTCACGGACCTGGCACAAGCTTTGCCTTCTTAGCGGCCATGTCTATGCTCTCCACAGAGGCTCCTCACCCACTGGAGAGGTCTGAGGGATTGTCTTGTTCCCTAGAGGAAGTAGGGGTGTGCGTGTGTCCGTGCGTGTGTCCTACAAAGTCCAGAAGTCAGCATGCAGGGCCGGCTCTGAGGCACAGTGGTTGTGCGCTGATCAAGAAAACTGGGTCTCACATGCTGATCGCAGTTCAAGTCCCCAGCCTGGTCAGGCACATGTATAAGCACCTAAGACCCTACAGGCTGGACTGTGGGGGGACTAGAGTCTGAGGGTGCTCATCTCTTTCTCTTGCTCATAGAAGAAAGAAAAAAAAAAAAACAAACAACTGGGACTTTTTAAAGGGCAGGGCTCCTCTGGGGTGTGTCTGGCTTTAAGCAAAGCCTGAGAAAACACCACATACACACAGGTTTTCAGTAAGTGCGCTCTGGTGGTAGCCCGGTCATAAGGCTGTTACCAACAGATGTGGTCTCCCTCGCAGTGACTGCGTTCAACCCAAGCACTTCCATGTGCTCGTGGGGCAGAAGGGCAGGCCACGTGAAGCCAGCTCACTGCCTCTAGGTTCTGCCGTCTCAGGCCTGGTGATTAAACAAGACAGCAGAAGTTGGGAACTACTAGGCCAAAGCCTTTTTTTTTTTTTATCTTACTTTGATTTTAAAGATGATTTATTTTGGGGACCAGCAGATGGTATAATGGTTATGTCACTGGACACCCACATAGTCAACCGCAGTTCAAGTCCCAGATCCAGCGACTTAAAACTCATGCTGAGTGCGTGCGTGCCTAAGATCCTGAGAGGAGAATGGAGAAGGGACTGTGGTGTGGCCATCTCCCCCTGAGGAATGATTTCTTGCTTTCTGTCTCTGTCTCTGTCTCTCTGGTGAGTGTGCATGCTCTACAGCAAAAAAATCTCTCTTAAAAAAATTATTTCTTCCATGAGCAAGACAGGGACAGTACCCCACAGGGTCTCAATGCTGTGACCTACCCCAGCCTTCGGCCAGCCCTGGATTGTGGGTATGCATGCAGCCAGCACCCAGAGAGATCTCCAGACTGGAACTGGGAGCCTCCCATGTGGGATTCCCTCAGCCAGAAGCCTTTTTCCTACTGACTCTGTCTCACTCATTTTTTCCCCACCATGATGGCTGGGAAGACTGAGCCAGCCTGGTGGGGGTGGGAGGGGTTAGTCACTGACGATTTGTTCCTTGCCTCCCAGGCCCTACTAGCTTCAAACTCAGAACAGCTCCAGCTTCCACGTGGATGCTGGGTTTGGTTCTGAAGGCCTATGCTGAGGCAGCCGAACCAGCAACCTCACTGTTACCTGGCGATTTTCCGCAGTCTAGGGCTGTCCTGACTTCCAGTTAGGCGAGGCCTCCAAGGCAGGCCGTCTTTCTCCTACCTGTACCTTTGTCCTGCCATATACCTTCCCAACCACTCCACTACAAAGAGGAACAGCCCGAGGCCTGGAGCTCAGCCTTACCTCTCTCAGCCTCTCTACCTGGGGGAACAAGATCCTAGAGAACAACCCTAAACTCTGCAACCCTGAAGGTAGTAGAGGTGTGCTTACCGGGAGCTCGCATTACTTTAACCCCTCATTTTTATCCGAAGAACCCAAGGCCTCATTAAGTGGAGACTTGCCCAAGGTTACCCAGGCCATGTGTGGCAGGGCAGGGCCAGGCCTCAGACCCCAGGCTCTTCAGACTGTGCTGCACACTCCCCAAGTCTCCGGGGTTACTGGCAAGCACAGGGGACCTTCTTGGTCCTCCCTGGTCAGAAGACTCCTGAGGGCAGAGGCGGGGCCCTGCACACGTGGCACCTGCAGTGTAGACTGTGGGGTACACACGAGACCATCACTGTTGGGTGAGTGAGGGAAGAAAAGGTCCCAGGGTGTTTCTCCATGAACTCCAGAGACAGGATGGCCGAGTGCAAGAATGAAGAGGGAGTCCCTTCCACTGGATGAGAAGTCGGGGCTGAGCGGTACAGGGTGGGTGATGCGCTGTGCAGAGATCACTGTGCCTGGGCTCAGATGCCTGTCTCTGGTTGGAGTAGCCCAGCCAAGTGCTCTGGACAGTTTGCCCTGAGCTAGGGCCCTTCTGGAGAGGCTGTGGGTGCTCCCTCAGCCCCAGGATCTATCCACTCATCTTGGTAGGCAAGTGGGCAGGTGACCAGGGGCCCTGGTCCTCCCTCCGTGCCAAGCCCCTCTCCCTGATGAAGCTGAGGCTGAGACCGAGGCAGCCGAGCTCAGAGCTGCTTTGGTTCCCCAATGACTCACCCACCAGCCTGGCAGGCAGAGTAACGAGGAGGCTCTGCTTAGTGCTGACCCAGCAGATGGCAGCTGGGCCTGTGAAGGGCACGGGGAAAGCAGGCTGCCTCTCACTTCCCAGGGGCACGCTATACAGCCTGAGAGCTGGGGCGCTTCTCCCATGGCTGGCTTTCCAGAGCCACATGACCGTGACTCAGAACCTCTCTGACAGCCTCCAGGTTCAAGAGGCTATTCCCGGGACACTTGGGCCTGACGGCAGCTTGCTCCCACCCGCTTCCCTCCTGCCTTCTATATGGCTTCTGGGCTACAAGAGTCAGGGTTTGATATTAAGCCTAGGACTGCTAGCTGTGGTCACTGTCTTGTCACTGTAGCTCTCAGCCCTGCCCCTTCTCTGTCCTCCAGTGTGTGGGGAGTGAGGACTAAGTGGGAGCCAGTTATGTCTCTGCCTTTGAAGGCAGGTTCAAATCCCAAGCCATTACTCAGTCTGGCTGCTCTCCCCAGCTCCACTCATGCCTCAGGCCTTCTGCCCTTGGCTCTTGTATCCAAGCTCAGGATGTGAGCTGTGGCAGCAGCCCAACCCACTTGGCTCGCTCACAAGCCCATGAGACAAAAGAGGGGTGCAGAATTCATTGTGTGTGCTTTCAGGCCTGCCGCAGACTCGCCGCCTGCTCTCTCTGTGGTGCCTTGATGACCCTGGAGAAGCCTGGTAGGGACGATTAGGATGGCACCAGACTGACCCTTGGGTGTGTCTGGTGAGTTGCTAATTGGAGTTCAAGGATGGCTTCAGGGAGCTCTGAGGCTAGAAACAATGTGCAGTTTTCCAAGGAAGAAATCCAGAGCTTTCAACACATTCTCCAAGGGTCTACCATTGCCCGAAGGGGGCTCCATTCTCCCTAGAAGACTAAGGCCATGCTAAGTCCCTGGTTCCAGCTCAGCTCTTCCATTCAGAGGAGGGGCTCGTTAATGCAGTGGTTCCCAACTGCGATGAGTTCAGAAAATGTACCCGTCCTAGGTCTACTGGGCCAGATCCACTGGGTGTCAAGCCTGGCCTCTGTACTTTTTTTTTTTTTGGAGAGGTTTTTGCTATAGGGTGCGTGCGCTCGCCAGGCAGACAGAGAGAGACAGAGAGACAGAAAGCGAGAAATCACCCCCCGGGGGGGATGGCCACGCTGCAATCCCTTCTCCTCCATTCTCCTCTCGGGATCTTGGGCACGCACGCACACGCGCCCGGCGTGAGTGTTAAGCCACCGGGTCTTGAACGCGAAACGCGGTCGACTACATCCCTGCCACATGTGAGGAAGGAAGTAAGGGAGAGAGATAGAGACAGAGGGACAGAGAGAGAGATAAAGCATTCTCATTAAGGTCTTCACCCTGTGATCACGCAGGCCTGGATCATGGGCACGTGCATGCCCACCATTCTCAGGAAGGATTTCTCCTCTGGGGGTCGGCCTTGCAGAGCACTGTGTTACTGCTGCGCCTCCACCCGGCCTCTGAATCCAACTAGCTGGAGGACTCTGAGGTCAAGGGTCCAGAGACTGTTATTTGACCCCTGCTCTAGTCTCTAAGGTTACACTGTTCAAAATAGTAGTCACTAGCAACATGTGGCTATTTATTTCTAATTAACATTAAATAAAATGTATAAACCCTCCATTATGCTGCCCACCATGTTGGACGTGCAGATGGAGGGCAGTCCATCACTGTGGAACGTTCTATTGGCTATGCCAGTCTAAGCCTGTGAAAGCAATGTTGTCTCTGATAGCAAAACTTCTGTTTCCAGGATTCTGGGACAGAAATAGGGTCTAGGCTAAATGAAAGTTTGATTTACTTGAAGGTACAAGCAATGCTTTAAATGTTGATCTCGAAAGATGCTAACCTCTCTAATGCATCGCATTTCAGTTCTGTCTTAGTAAGTATGGAACAGTGAAAACACCAAACTAGGAGCACAAAGTTATAGGTTCTAGCCTTGGAATACTTGTGAAAAATAGCAGCGGGTCCATTTTTGTCAAATGGAATCATATCTTCATCCCCAATACATAAAAGAGTTGGAATCGTGCAACTGGTATGGAACACGTATTAGAAACAGCTGCTCTGGGGATCAGCAGTTAGTGTAATGGATATGTCACTGAACTCTCATGTAATTGCCCACAGTTTGAGTTCCGGACCTGGTGACTTAAACTCACGCCGGGCGCATGTGTGTGTGTGCCCAAGATCCCGAGGAGAATGGAGAAGTGATTGCGGTGTGGCCATCGCCCCCAGGGGGTGATTTCTCACTTTCTGTATCTCTGTCTCTGTCTTTCTGGTGAGCGCATGCACCCTATAGCAAAA